TTGTCTAGCTTCAACTTCTAGCCATTGGATCGTGTTATTCCTTTCTCTGCTAGGTTGAAGAGTAAATATTTGTTCTCCATATAGATTCATACAGACTGTATCAATGACAGTGGGGGGCTGAAGACGGGAATGTAGACCAGGTCAAAAATTGCCATCAAAACTGTTTTTTAAAAAAATGGCATTTTTGACCCAAATGAAAATTTTCATAAACATTTTCTATTTTGATTGCTATTTTCTAGTGTTTCAATGAAAAGCCAGAAAACAAACCCCAGAAAATTAGGGGAATTTTTTTTTCTTTTTCTGTGAAATTTTTTTTTCTGAGGAAATTTTCATTTTCCAGTTTCATTTTCAGTAAATTTCTGAGGGTTTTTAAAAAAGAACAGGAGGACCTATGGCACCTCACAGACTAACAAATTTATTTGAGCATAAGCTTTCGTGAGCTGCAGCTCACTTCATCGGATGCATTGAGCTGTAGCTCACGAAAGCTTATGCTCAAATAATTTGTTAGTCTCTAAGGTGCCACAGGTCCTCCTGTTCTTTTTGCGAATACAGACTAACACGGCTGCTACTCTGAAACCTGAGGGTTTTTATTTTCTGAAAATGGAACATTTTTACAGACAACCAGTTTTTAAATAAGAAAGCATTTTAGAGAAACTGGACATTTTTCACTTTTGGTCTCTGATATTTGATGACAACCTGATATTATATTTTTATGGGGAATTTCAAGAAAAATACTATTTTTTTTTCAAAATGTCCCATGAAAAGTAATTCACTTTTTCCAGCCAGCTCTGTTCAAATGTGTAATAGTGATTTGGAAGAGTAATAGTTCAGGAAAAGGGATCCTAGTCAAACTGATGGGAGAAGAAAATTACATTGGCAGTTGCATTTTGGGTGGAGTGAAGAACAGGAGGGCAGGAAGGGCGAGTTTTCAGTAAAAGAGGTAGGAAATAACCAGGGTAACACCTAGTATTGTGGCAGCTGGCTGCTGAAGAAGGGACATGTTTCAGAAACATTGTATAGGAAAAACTGGGCAAGATGAGACCCTGGACATGGAAGGAGAAGGAGAAAGAGGGAGGGAGAAGTTGAAGATGAATGAGCAATCACTCACAGCCAGAAATCCAGCAGCAGTAGGTACCCACATGCCTGAGCTTCAGATGAAGTGAGCTGTAGCTCACGAAAGTTTATGCTCAAATAAATTTGTTAGTCCCTAAGGTGCCACAAGTCCTCCTTTTCTTTTTACAAGGCCAAGTGTCAATGTTCTTCTAACTCCCTGAGAAATCTGGGTAGCCAGGATGCTTGTATTTGCTAAGATTTCTCCCCCCGTCCCCCCGCATCATAGATACTTTTTTGAAGGCCAAGCGATGAGAGTAAATCAAATCTCATGCTTCAGAGTGAAATGATCAGCTGCAGAGAGCAGGAAATATGTTTTTTCTCCCCACGTAGCGTTATACAATTTGCTAAGTGCTAATGTTTGGCCACTATTGAGTGGGGCAAGGTACCAGACTAATTTCGACCAGATCAGTGGTCTAATGAAGTATGGCACATCCCATGTTCTTATAATAGGATCTGCCCACGCAAAGAACAGGCATGTTCAGAGTAGATACATTCCGTTTTTGAAATTAATGAGTCCTAAAGATTAAATACATCCTTGTTATTCAATACATTCTAGTAAATCAACAAAGACATTACGGTTTGGCTGCTTGTATATCACTTGTGCCACCCAGCTCACAGCTCAAGTCTGAGATTATTAAAATCTAGGGGGAAAATGCTGTTTCAATTACCTTTGGCAAGGCTCCTAACCCCAAATAGCTTCAGTGTCAGTCCAGCTGGCCGTACATGTGGGAGGCCCAGATGATCTGCATGATGGTCTAAATTCTTTTCAAACAAATAAAGATATTAATAACATCAGTCTCAGTCTCACATCCTTGGATTAGACTAGAATCAGGCCGTAGGTGGGATCTTTACCATTTTTCAATTGAAATTCATTTAAAACCATTATTTTAAAGGTGCATAGTTTGTCCCAGGTATGCTGAGTTTCTTGTACATGTTCCAGCAGAAAACTTTGTCTTTCAAATACATACCGGAGCTTATGGAAATTTTGTTATGGCCCAATGAGGCAGAAAGGAATTGGCGGTGAGATTAAATAAGGTCACTTCAAGGTGCAGAAATATTTGTAAAATATACTCCCTCCCCCACATCATATAAAAACAGGGCGGGAGAGAAGGGGAATAAACCCTTCACTTATAGGAAATGATGAGGTGTGATTGATCTCTGCAAGACGGAAATCCATTTTTAATCAAAATTATTTATAGGGTTAACCCAAAGGCTGTACTTGCTAGCTTGCTCCATAGCTAAGCAGCGTGGACTGTGACATGTTGGAGATGGATGGAGTATTTCTACAGTAGTTTGAATCAGCTTCAAAGTCCTGTCACCAAGGAGACTATCACTTATGGACAAGATTTTCAGAAGTGACTTGTGAATTTAGATGCCTCGAGTTCTCAGTGTCCAACTCCTGCCTCTCACCAATATAGTCTCATTGCTTCCTTGTACCTCCTCTCTGTCTTCATCTGTGGTCTCTTGTCTCATACTTAGATTGTAAGCTCCTTGGGGCAGGGACCATCTTTTTGTTCTGCTCTTATATAGCAGCTAGCACAATGGGGACTTGGTCAATGATTTGGGCTCACCCGCACTGCAGTAATACAAATAAATACATAATAAATATTCATATTAATAATACCACCAACAACTTAAACAGCATGATTTTCTGATAGTGGTAAGTACCCAACTTCTAAAAATCTGGCCTCTTTTAAAAATCTTGGCCTACACCTCTAGTGTCCCATTTTTCCCTCACATGGGAATTTGAAGAGACCTGTAGTATTTGGTATCTGCTGGTTGAAACTCTAAACCTATTGAAATCAATGACTTCCCTGTTTACTTGTGTGTATGAACCTTGCACACCCAGACGCAACAAGAATTTCAATTTAAAGCCACATGTGAAAGGAAATTGCAGTGAAACCTGCACAGATCTCTTCAGATTCAAAAGACTTATGTGATACAAGGAAGTCTGGTCTCCTGGTTAATGCACAGAACTGGGACTCAGGAGACCTGAGATCAGTGCCTGCCTCTACCACAAACTTCTACGTGACCCTGGACAAATCACTGACATTTCTTTGTGCCTCCACTCCCCATCTATGAAATGGAGATAATATTTCCTTGTCTCACAAATGTGTTGTGGAGATAAATTCAATAATGTTTCTAAGCTGCTCAGATAATATGGGAATGGGGCCCAGATAGGTATCTAGGTGATAGAAAGAAAATAAACTTTTACCTAGGTATGGGATTAAGATCTACCCACCCTTTCCCGTAGACACTAGAGGAAAGCATGATGCGATTTCCAGGTAAAATAAAGGAGTTTTGAATTTCTCCAAAGGGATAAATGACTGTGTCTGATTGTCTGGAGGAATTTACAAGGAAACAGTGGAGTGCTCAGAATCAGGTGTCAATATTATAGACACTTGTTGACTTTCTCTTATGTGGGCAACTTAGTCCAGAAGGAGATGTTGGGGAATTACGGCTGCTTCATAGACTAATGACTGCATTTCCATTAATGAGGGCACCGGCTGGCTAAGGGCGCATGTCACAGAGTTTTCTTGGCTTGATCAAGGCCTGATCCTGTGGGGGTGTGGTCATTCATTTCTGTGGCTGCCAATGGGGAAGACTGGTGCTTAGTGCTCCAAAGCACTGGACATTCAGGAAGTATCATGCGTAGCAAGCCAGAATCTTTGGCCAGGTTCTTTGAGTATTAACCTGATCCTGGAGAAGTAATAATAAGTAATGTACAATGCAGTGTTGGAACATTCCATTCTGTAATTTTCTCTCACTTCTTTCTTTGCATATATTATTGCCAGAGGAGGCCCATGGAATTAGCCCCCGTCTGAAGAAACACATAGTGTTCGGATGCCCCAGTGTGATGGGTGAAGTATAAAAGAGAAGAGAAGAGAAGTTTGGCACTGCACATTGATTTTACTCATGCTTTTAGAGTAGATTTAACATCTTGGGTTGCTTTAAACCTACCTGTTGTCAGTCACATAATCCAATGCTATAAAAGACCTAGGTCTTATTTTTGTTATGTATTTCATTAAAAAGCACCTGAGATGCTTTGGGAGAAAGGAAACTATATTATAGATATATATATATAAACTATGGATTTATGATTAGAACAGACTTTGATTAACTTTACAGCGTGGAAGTAATTACCTACGCTTGCAAGTACAATCCATTTCCTATCCTTGTGGAAGTAATCATAACATCCTAGCAGGGGCAAGCTTTAAAGTGAAATAGAAAGGACGCAGTTCTGCATTCTGGTGTACACCACTGAAATCATTAGAAGTCGTGAGTTGGTTTAGGGCAAGATTGCAACTCCTTTACTCACAGCAGATAATCCATTACTCCATAAGTAGCACCATTGACTTCAGCAGGACAGTTTGCAGCATAAAGTTGTATTCAAGTGAGCCCCTTACACACAGTCTTGATTAGGATGTTGTCTGGGATAGGGACTGTCTTTTTTAACTGAATGTTTGTGCAGCATCTAGCACAATGGGTCTCTTGCTCAACAATGATAATAATATAAATATGCAAGGAATAAAAGTCCAGGCCAAAAATGTCCACAGTCACTTTACTTTCCCTATTGCTTTCAAAATAAATAGAGTGTAAAGAACTTCTGATGAAAATTTAATTTTAATGGGATAATGAATAATAATTAACTGGAGATCTGGGGCCTGCTCCATTCAGATCTGTATTGGGGTTCAGGCACCATAAAGACTGCAGTTGAACCAAATTCCCTTCCAGTCTGGAGCCCTGGCCTTTGAGACTCACCCCCCATTCTAAAAGTCTTCCTTTCCTGCAGCCTGTTTGCTGAAGTACACGGATTCTCTCCTCCCCCTTCTTTAGACAGGAGGTGGGCAGGTCCAAGTGGATTAAATATGCAAACATACTGTACTATCCCCCTCTGTTCTGCCAAGGGCTTTCACTGGCTTGCATGGACCATCAGCAGCGACCAATCTGAGCAAAGAAAAAACAAAGGGGGGGAAACTGCAGGAGCTCTGCTATGAAAATCGGGCAGCAAACAAACGAAGCAAGCAAACCAACCCCTGTCCTCCAGAGAAAGGGAGGAGGAGAAAACCAAAGGCGGCTGTCTCGTTAAAAATAGAGCTCGCAGCAGCACCTGTGAACCCCTTCAAGTATCTGCGCGGATTTGTGTCCTAGGAAAGAGACAGACTCACAAACGAAAGTGCTGGAAATTGCTGTGAGCAAAAGGAGGCAAATAAACCGACCACCCCCTCCAAGAAACTGGTGTGTGTGTGTGGGGGGGGGGGGGAAGGAGTCTGAGGGAATGACGCTGGAAGATCCAGAGACTCAGAGAAGAAAAGTTGATGCCAAGGGAGACTTTGCAGTCTAGAAACTGAGCTCCGCTCCGCGATGGGCTTCCTAGTTTCTAAAGAAAACCTTCTCCTCTTCCTTTGGGCGAACGTCTTCCCTGGTAAGTTTCAGAGCAGGTTTCCCTGCGACCTTGGTCAATTTCCTCACCCCAGCCAGCATCCCCAGCTCTGGCTGGAGATTGTCCTATTGCAAGCAAGGAATACACCCCCCCCCCCCAAAAGAACCACCTGCTCCTTTCCATTAGATCCCTCGAGGACCCACCCCCGGCCCTCACACACACACACACACACACTTGCATGATCCTGTCTTGCTTTGTGTTGATTTTCTGCTTCTTGGGTGGGAAAGGGTTAACCCCCACTAGGGATTTAAACGCCCGAGTCCTGCTCTCCTCCCCCCCCCACTTCTCCCCAGATCCCCCCCCTGCGTCCCGCGCCTTTGTGCGCATTCAGCAGGGAGCAGAGACGTTTCCTGGCAGCTGCCCCCCGCGATGCTGGGCTTTAATTTTTAATAACCAACAGCGACTCCCGAGTGAACGGGGAACTACTCTCTGCAGCCTCCAGCCTTTCCCGTCATGCGTGAGGGGGACTGTGCTCTTGAGCTAATTCCCCGCCCCAGACCCTGTTCGCCTTTTGTCTCTGCACAGCTGTTGTAGCCAAGAGTGACCCCGCAGTTACTGGACCAGGAAATTCTTGCTTTGCTTAGGGGGTTGACATTTGGTCTGATGGTGGTCATTTTTGATGTTTAATCTCCATAATCACAGACTCTCTCTCTCTTTCACGCACACACACACACACACACACACACACACGATCTGATGTCCTGGTCCTATTTCCCCCCTGAAAACCTCTTCTTGCCCTGTCCAGAGCAAGTGGCCCTTTCACTCCATGGTTCAAAGCCTGAAGCTTGCTAATATTCTCCCAGCTGTTCAAGCACGGGGCTGCTTGGCATCCTCAAAGAGGCAGAAACAATTTAACAGGAGGACAGGCCAGGCAGTCTATTTCAAATGCTTTTTAACAATCTCCACCTCCCAGAAGACAGTTCCTAGATGCTGTTCCATGCTACATTATGAACTAACCATGCCATTGTATATGCTGAAAGGTGGTGTCCTGTCACTGGTATGTCATTGCCATGTCATGCCCACCTATATTCCTTTCCTCCTCTACCTGTCTGCATTTTTAATGTGTCCATCACCATGGTATCTAGGTGCTGTACATATATAAGTAAGACTTGCATCATAGTCTGTCTGCCAAAGGACAGAAGGACTGGGGCCTATTCAAGGAGAGAAGAAGTTGAAGCACTTCCCCCCCCCCCTCTCTCCTCCCCAAATATCTCTGCTCTGGTCTTCCTAACTTACAGACATTTCACACTTTCATGTCTCACACTTTCCCTGCAGTGTGCAGCCATGTGGAAACCCGAGCCCATGCAGAGGAGAGACTCCTGAAGAAACTCTTCTCGGGCTATAACAAGTGGTCCCGACCTGTAGCCAACATTTCGGACGTGGTCCTCGTCCATTTCGGATTGTCCATCGCGCAACTCATTGACGTGGTAAGTGAAACTATAAGCAGTGGAGATTTTAGGGGTCATGGGGGAGGAGCGATTCCAGATACAAGCCAGCCTGTGCAGTTTTTGCTGACTTATTTCATGATCAGAATATGAATATCTTACTGATGCTGAAGAACAGTTATCCATATGAACTGTTCTATTAAAAGTAATGGGAGAACTCATGCGAATAACTGCTCATCAAGGTGTGCAGTCTGGTGGTCTTGTATTGTTTATTTATGAATTATAGTAAAAAGTGGGATGCCGTTTCTGAAACCAAAGGAAAGCCCAGGGTATAAAATCCAAAGATATATCTATTAAGCTCAAGAGGAGTTTTGAGGGAATGAATTTTGGCTGAGTAACAAACAAGTAATGTGTTTAGAATTTGATCTATAATTAGTATTCATAATACATAATCGTCACAAATAATAGTTTACACCTCTATTATTTATCTTATCCAAGGATCCCAAAGTTCTTTCTTCACATGGAAAGTCCTTTGGCTGCTTTGAGGCATAGTGGCTGAGACAAAATGTTCCTGCATGTTTTCTCAGAGGGAATCTACATGTATACAACATATAGATGACATACAAAATGGATTGATTTTTATTATGAGTCAGGCGTATGCATTGGCATGGTATTTAAAGGACATGATTTTATGGCACTGGGAGCTCAATTTTCAAAGAAGAAAACAGGTGCATGATTGCACACCCACACAAATCAGCATTTTACTGTTCTAGCATGAGTGTGTGCACAAGTACCAATTTGCACATGGAACTCAGATACTAATTTTGCATGCCAGCGTGTGTGTCTGTGCCCATGCATACCTGTTTTGAACACTGAATTTTTGGAAGCTGTGTGAATTATTTCTTAAATAGAAACCTATATGTACACTATGTTCTTATGTATGTGACAGAGAGAGAAGAAAGATAATACAGGATGGTATAGTACACAAGAATGATTGGCATGAGTTAGTGCTTATACGCAAACAGTAAAGCTATAAATGAACTTTACAGGTCATTCCAGATGAGTGCTTATTAACCCTTTATAGCATACCACACCATCATGTACTCTCTATATGTCACCTATGTGACAGAATCACTATTTTTGAAATGGATTAGAGAGAAAGAAATATTAGTGCCAACTTTCATATTCCTCCTTCTGAGAAGCTAGGCTACAACTATGTGACTCAGATAAATATTCCAGCTATTATAATTTACAGACCTCTTAAAAGACCTGTAATAATTTTTCCACCCATAATGTTACCATGATCCCTATGGTTCTTCCACTCAGAGAGTGCTGAGTTCTGTTGGGAAGAATAGACAGTCCCTTTTCCAGTGGTAGGAAGGTCCAATTTCCAGCCTTCATAAGTCATGAGATCTCAGGCCTTAAACTTGTCCCTGGTTGAATATTGTCCATATTGGGCCTCATGCCATTGTAATTTTGAGGGGTAAATTCTACTTTTGGGTAGAAATTAGAAAATGGCTCTGTGGTGGGAGGTTTAAAAGAAGGGTGTATTTTTGAAGCTGCATTCATGTTTGGGATGTTGGAGGTAGTCACAGGTAGACTAGATTGGTGGTCAGAGTACAGGAGAGAGGACTGTAGATTAGTGATAGATGCACATGGTTCCGCAATTTATCACATTTATAACCACGTTATATGCAGCATAAAGATATCTGTGCAGTATACAATTTAATATAGGTAGTTGAGAAATGAATGGCATATGTGCATGAGGGGTTGTGTATCTTTTTAAAAATAAGCCTTTGCTCAAACAACTTCAAAAAACAGAGTTGATTATTTTATTATTATCATTGTGATAGCAGCTAGGAGCCCTAGTCATGGACCGGGACCCCTTTGTGCAAGGTGCTGTACACACACAGAACAAAAAGGCTGAGGAGCCCAAATCTGTCATTGATGATATTTAGGTTGTATGCATTTCATCTGAATAATTGATAAGATTAAAGATGGTACATCAACGATTGTGGTGGCATAAGAGATACTTTCTATTATGCAACTGCCCAGTCATGGATGGTGAGATCAATACTTGTTCTTTGAAGTGCTTTTCTTGTCTTACCTAGGAAGAATAAACTCTGTAAAAGTCATAATCCGGTGTTTAAAACTGCAGTCAATAGGCAGGGCTGTAAAGCAGCTGAGGTTTAGTTTATTATTCCCCATCTCCTTCAGTAAGGTTCTCTCTGTTCCTGTATAACCCTTTCCCTGATACAATTCCTGTATCATGTTCCCAGTCCAGCTGAGTGTCTGTTTAACGATCCCCCTTCTTACCACTGCAGCATTTCTTAAGAAAACTTAGCATGATTGTCAGACATGGTGTTAAAAGCGCAGCCTTCCCTTTTCAATGGAGTTTGCGTCTCCTCTGGACACGTGTCAGTGGCAGAAAGTCAAAAAAAGCAAAAACAGGATCAATATTCAAATTCTGACTCGGACCGAAAAAAGCCAGAAAACTCAATATCAAATCCACTGTCCTGCTGTGTCCTTACTTCACCCTGTTATGCTGACCTCAGTTTGGTGCTGGACTAACTGGCTATGAGACTAAGACATGGGTTCAAGAACAGACTAGATAGACCCCGTTTACCTCCTATGCCCCTCTCCGCTGGGTAGCATGGAGTGCAGTGTATTCACCTTGGGAAAAGAGACCATGCAGTTAAATTCCATCCAGGGCTACCACAACCCTTCTGTTCCTCTGTTAATAGCGAGCTCAGAAAAACACTGCCATCTGAGCTCTTTTGAAGCCAGGCCAATAAGGAGACAGAACAAACATCATTAGTTTTGCTGCAGCACCTTAAACTGGGAGAACTGAACCGAGTCCAAAGCACTTTTCTTTGGTTATTTACACAGAAGCTGTAATTAGCATGCAAGCAAACTAGTAAACATTAAACAGTTCAATTAAATTGTATTAGTAATAGCTGAGCAATTTGCCTGCCACGCATTGGATTTCATTTATTTGTACATATTTATATTTTGTAGCTTAACACTCCATTCATGTTTAGCACAGGAAAGAGCCTATTACCCCAAAACACACGAAGAGCTGTGTAGATGATCGGAGCTATCATCAGATTGTGCGTTTGCAGAGTGACTCGCATATTTTTGGTCACTAAAGCAAATTTGTACTGTTTTAAGTTAACATATTTTGTAGAAACGTAAATACTACAGATGCCCAAGTTTTCAGAACTGCACAGACAAAATGCACATGAACGCTGCTTGACTGCACACTAAGACCTGGTAACTGTGCAGACAAAGGACTCACTGCACATGCAGCTGGCCACGTACACAAGCTTACTGCATTTGTGTGTGCAACCGTGGTAAATGCACACAGAAATGATCAAATATACATCTAACCAGCTATGTGCTTATGTGTTTACTGCAACCGAGTATCTGTTATGTTTATACAAGGAAATATTTCCCAAAGTGCCTAAGGTGGTGATTCTCAAAGGCACAAATGACAGTTAAGCGCCTAACTCCCCTTGACATTTCTGAGGCACTTTTGAAAATCTCAACCCTGGAGATTTAGGAGTGTAAGTTCCTTTCGGTGGGACTTACGCTCTTAAATAGAGCTGGGTGAATAGTTGGTTTTTCAGTTCACTGGCAGTTCTGAAAAATTAAAATAATAATTTCAGGTCAAACCAAAAAGGAAATGTTTATACACTTTTGGCAAATTGAAAAGTTGAAAAAAAATTGTTTTGGGTCAAATGAAATGTTTCATTGTGGCTTAGAGCATTTTAAAACATTTATCTTTTTTTAAAAAAAAAAACTAAAGAAAATATCTAAATGAAAATCCATTTTGAATTGAAAAATCAAACCATTTCATTAAAAAATGTCAAAATGAAATGCAGATATTTTCAGAATTTGGGGTTTGTTTTTTTGGAATGAACAATTCAGCGAAATGGACATGAATTTGTGAAACATTTTGGAATCACGGAATCTACTTTTTCTGCCAAAAAAATGTTTTGGTTGAAAAGTTTTGGCCAGCTCTGCTCCTGAATCCCTCAGGCACTTTTGAAATTTTTACCTATAGTCCCTATTATACTGGAATCTAAGCAATGACCAACCTGGTACTTACATGCCCAAAGTAGATGCACAAAATGCATGGGTTTTTCTGAGAATTTGAGCCTTAATTCACTCTAGGTATAAAGAAATGCAAGACAGATTTTTTTTTAAAAAAAGAATGAAACCGTGTTGCACTCAGAAACAGGTCTTGGAGGAGTGAATTACTCAAGAGACTGGAGGATATAAAGCCTTTAATTTCTTCTTGACCAGTTCAAATCCAGCCCAAGTTGGTAACAATCAAAAGTTGTCACCTCCTGATGGCTTTTCAGTGACCTATATGAAAGGTCCCCATGGACAGATGTCCAATTTGCAAATGCTATTCTCACTGGTGGCACCAGTTGGCACCTTTATTGGCAGTTCCATAAGAAAAGCTAAGAGACTGAGCCATCATCTCTTTAGACGGTCCCTGCAGGTTAGATCGGGCAGGACACTGAGGGGAAGATTTCACTGTCATTGTCTCCCTTGTGGATATAAAGAGGGTTTCAGTCTCCAACAGTCTGCCAATTTAGCTGGCACTTTTTATCAGTGCTAAATTCATTTTTTATAAATGAGAGAGAGAAAAGCAGGGGTTAGGAAAATAAGAATTGTTTTCTAAAGAACACTTTAAATTAAATGGCAATGCTTGTGTGAGCAATCATTGCAGCTGAGAGATATCCCCTAACTCAGGGAAAGCATATAGTTTAGAAGTAAACAAATAGCTAGTAGAAAAGCTTTAGACTCTACACTTTCAGGGCAAAGTGTCAAGATATGAATACAGGTAAACCAACCCACCAGTTCTCACTACACGTCTATCTGAAAGCTGCCAATTTGCAAGAGGAATTTCCTTATATTCTGTGATGTGTGAAAACCAGTGTGCTCTGGAGGAATGAGGCAAGGGCTAAGGGCCAGGGGGGCCTTGGTTTTAACCTTAACCACCTCAGCTTCCTTCCTAGCACAGTACTATAGTGTGTTCTCTGTAGAACACACTTTGGAGAGAAGAGATGCATGTTAGAGCTAAAGGCAGAGAGCCATCGATAATGGCCTTAAACTCAAGAAGGGTAAGTGCAGATCAGGCATAAAGCATCACTTCCAAGCAGTCAGAACAATTCAGGAAAGGAAGTACTGGGGAACTGTCTGTGGACATGTTCGAAGGTAAATCGTACAGGGGCCATATCCAGATACCCCCACCCAGCCCACGTCTGTAGCCAGACTGGTATTCTGCCCTGCCAAGGGAGAAGTTGCAAGGGGTATGTGGTTAGTTCTCAATAGGACAGCTTCCCTGGAAATCCCTGTGAAGCTGTGTTCAGCGGGCAACTGGGGGAGAAGTGATGGACTAATGTAACAATCCTATCCCCATTGTGGTGGGGGGTGTATTAGAGCTGTGGATTCTTCTCCTCCTCCTCCCCCCCCCCATGGTACTGTGCTGAGCTCATCTTGGCTGGGCCTTATAATATCCTTCAAAACAAAAAAGTCTTCTTAGTACACACATTTCTCAGAAAATCTGTCAAACAAATCCAAGTTGATCGTCTGCTGAGACTGCCTAGTCTTAGCCTCTGGTGTTTGGTGGTATCAGACAGGTGCGTTCTGTCCCATGCTAAACTCCAGGAACATCAGCTTTTTTAGCTGAAAAAATATATTTATTGCTGAGATTATTTCTGATTACAAAAATGGACTACACTAAACATGCCTCTGCTTTCTGAGCTTGTGGCTTTTCCTTTTCAGGATGAGAAGAATCAAATGATGACCACGAACATGTGGGTGAAGCAGGTGGGTGAGCCCAAAAGGTGTTTTCTTGTATTGGTTTTCCGTGTATATTTCAATTCTAACTCCTCCCAGTCCCTGGTAATGGATGTGTTTTTCCCAGGAGTGGTATGACTACAAGTTACGCTGGGATCCTCTGGAATATGAGAACGTTACATCCATCCGCATCCCTTCAGAACTCATCTGGAGGCCGGATATTGTTCTCTACAACAAGTGAGTCTGAGCTCCATCGCTGGAAGGCGACTATTCCTTTAAAAAGCTGCTCCGCTCTCTGCATTGGGGAGATTATCGTAATTTTCTCTCCCTATTCTATTTGATACTATTCTAGAATATCGAGCTTCTTATGCCACCATCATTGCTGTAGGATCTGAGCACCTTCAAGTCATACGCTAAGCAACATGACTAACATCTGTCACATTTGGTTTGTTCTCCCTCTCTTCTTGCTCTTCCTCTCCCTAGGGGAAGAACTGTGCATGCAGTGGAATGTTTTGTTTGGGAAGGGTTTTGTTTTTGTTTTAAAGGCACCATCCCTATGGTGACAAAGCTATTGGAACCTTCCGTCCCATTCTAATAACCATCCACCAAAGCTCTCTTTGCTCCACCACCATCAGTTCTAACAACGAATGTCTGAAGAGGGTGTTAAAAAGGGGATAAACTGGGAGAAAGTCATGAGTACCCTCTGTCCAATATAGGCTGAAAAAGGACCCTAACGTTGTCTGGTTCTAAGTGCTAATGGGTTATGGTCTCGGTTTCACTTGAGAACCTTTCCTACCTGGGCAACAGTGTAATATCCACTACCTTATACCTGAGCGGTTCTCTGTAGAAAGTGATAGGAGGAAGGGAGGAGTGTTTCTGCAAAATTGTTTGCAAACTTACCTGCAGCTTCTTGGGCTGGATACTGTTTAGGGATCATTATGCAGGTTCTGGGATTGGTCCAAGGAACCTCTAGTGTTGTTTGTAAATAAACTGTTGTAGCTGGATCTGTGTGTGTGAGATCTGGGTGTCATATGGACACATATGGCAGGAGAAGGTGGTTGCTTTCTTTACTTGATACCTTTGGACAGTAGTGGCCAAATTTGGTTCTCAGTGAGCCCTATGCAAGCTCAGTGTCAGGCTTTGCAAAGCCAGAATCCAAAAGAGGAGTAGCAAGGGCATTTTAGTTGAGAGATGAGATATCAGCACCGTTCAAAAGTATGCTACCTGGGTGATGGAAATATCAGAATTTGACTTTCACACATTCCCGATTGCAAGGGAATGTTGGTCAAATCTACCAAAGTAATTTACAAATATTTTTGTGAATAAAAACATTGAGTTTGTTTGGCCGTGAACTGTGCGATCCTGTTATGCATTGTTGGTGCCGATTCAGATTGCTGCCTAGTACTGATGACAATCCTCATGATTCCTAAAAGCATCACAAGTTTTAACATGAATTATTATTTCTCCAAAAAATTCCCACAGGAAAGTGTGTCATGCATGGTTGGATATTCACTATTAAATCATTCTCTTCTTCTAAAAGTTTCCGTTGCCCAATGAGGGATTAGAAACAATGCCATGTGACTGGGGGCGGGGAGGGAACAAACAAACAGCAGGGATATGAATAGTCAATGGGCTACATCCTCAAATGAACCATAATTGACCTGTAGCATATCTGGGGCAGGAGGGAGCCATGGTAAAAGTAACTCTTAGCAGCCTTTTTGCTCCCCCTATTCCGTAGCTGACCAGAAACAGCCCTTGGCATAACTTTATACCCTACTGTAAATTATACCAGCTGGAGCACCTGGCCCTACCTTCTCACATCTTTGGCATGCCCCCTATATATTTGAGGCAGGGACACATTGGGGTGGAATGAGGCAGAGTGACCTGTGCAGTGCTCTGTCCAGTTCTTTGCCGGTGGAACAGTCCCTATGAGATAATAGCATTGATTGGATACACAGATTAGGCATGTAATCGCACATCTAACTTCTTAGACAACCTGTACACGTTAGTGCTAATGAAAGCGCAGAAGAAGCAGCTGTGTTACAAACTGCAAAAAAAAAAAAAAAAAAGCTTTATCTGAAGCACAGAATCTTCTATTCTTCCCAAGCTGGTTTAAACAGGACTGCTTCTCCCTGAGTTCTTCCCTTTTTCTCTTGGCTGCTTTCATTGTAACGAAGCCACTTGTCATTGGCTGAGGTCTTAAAGGCTTAGCAAGGGCTCTGAGCGGCTTCACTTATTGTACTTCAATATCCAGGCTCTGGTTGTTGGTGCACACACCGCCGTGCTTGGCAACCCTGGCAGAATGTGTGCTAAGTGCCCCTGCAACAGCAAACAGAAATGGCTTTTTAAACAGGTAACATTTTGTGACTGAGTTTTGACAATGGAACGGTCTTCGTTTTTAATTAACAGTTGCATGGTTCCAATTCAGTACGTCTCTAAGAAACGATTGAGGTAAATATATATCTAGAGGGTTTGCAGCTTTAGAGACTATTGAAACGATCTTTTCCATTCTCCAGGAGCCTGATCCTGACCAGTGCTGAGCTTGCAGCTCTGGCTGAAATCATCAGGGCTGGTGTGTGCTCAGCACCTCTGAAGATAAGCCCTATGTAATTATTAATTCATGGGCACTCAGACCTTCTTATCCTAAAAGCAGGCACAAGCTGAACACTAATATATGATCAGTGGCTTAGACTGCAGCCCAGGAAATGTGCGCATAATTTCCTGCAACCTTAACATGCACGTGGGAGTCCCTGTTTCTGTACCAACCAGACACAGAAAAATACAATAGCCACGTTCAAATCTTTTTCAGGTAGCCCCTGAAAAAGCAGCAAACCCAGCTACCAATGGAATGGGATTAGAGCCTGAAAATGTTAGCAATGGAATAAGAAATAATGACCCTGCTTCTCCTTTATGCTAAAGACCAATTTATGATTAATAAGAATTAATCATTGGAATTGCAGTCACACCAGTCATGGTATTGTAGTAGGCACTGTAGAGACTCAGAGCAAATAGACAGACTCTGCCCCAAAGAGTTCACTATCGACATGTAAGGCAAGAGACTACAGAAGGATACAACAAACTAACAGGAGGGATACAAAAAGATGCAACTGCGTTGTAATGGCAGTGATCACTGCACACCAGCTGCCTGACCATGCCGGGTTTTTTAAGGCACCTTGGCAGAGAAGTTTTAAGAAGGGATTTGCAGGACCGTGAGCTTGCCTGGAGGATGATTATAGGGATCTCCTCCCATGCGTTATATCTTTCTGGCAGTATAAAGGGACCTTAAAGTAGGTGCAAATACTTTATGGTTACTATAAGGCCCCTTTATACTGCCGGGGGGGGGGGGGGGGTTGGTGGAACTTTTGCGGAAAAGGCCCAATGGTCTTATTTCAGTGTTTAAGCATTTCAGTGTGACTCATTTTGGAAGGCCCCACTGTGCTTACAAAAAGAGTTCTGATATTCTTCTTTTGGATGAGATGCTTGGGGGGAAAAGCTTCTGTCTATGACTCTACACAGAAGTCTTCCTGGTTTTTAACCTCTGGGAATAGATAGAAATGATGCAATTGCAATTAATTTGAGATTTGAATCTTCAAGGAAATCATACCCCATGTTGTCAGTGATTCTCTTATCTGAGCTCATTATTCTCTAAAGCTTCCATTTATGCACTCTAGGGCCGCAAATTAAGTCAGTAAATTTGGCCAGTTTGGCCTATAGAGTTGTCAACATTCATAAGGAATCTAAAACCAAACTAATATCCTAGGGGGAAATTAATATGCTGTTGGATTTTGCAAGCTTGATAAAATAAGCTCTAACACTGTAAATTGTCTCTATTGGACATGACAAAGCATATGTAAAACAGAGGAATATGATTTCATAGTGAAAAGACAAAACCTCATTTCCTTTATTTTCTTTCCAAAGAAGGCTAGATGTTCCATAATTGAAGTTTTAATCGTTGTCAAGGTAGCTTCCCCAAGGCTCCATAAAGATGAGCAAATCATTTGTAGTGAATAAATTTGACATGTTTATTGTCCATGAACATTTTGCAATTTCCCTGAATTTATTTGCTATTCAAATTATTTCTCAAACAGTTTCAGAGAATAATTCATGGGTTCTGATTTTCTACTGCTTTGCCACCATGTGTAGCTATTTGACCTGTGTGTAAGGCATGCAACATGCTATCATCTGTGACTGTGAGTGGAGAATTCTGAACACTAGCCTTACATAGATTTGTCAGATCAATGGGGGACTGTGCCCTTGGATCAGCAGATTGAGCAGTTCATTGAGAATATTTGAAATTCAAGCTTTTTGAGATGGTTTTATTTGGACACGTGATAGCATTTCTGTTCTTTAATTGGATGAGTATAACACTTGGAAAGGAAGTTTCTGGCATGAATATTTGCATTTAGGAGTTCAAAATTCACTCTCTGAATACTAATATTCACCTAAAGTTAGTTATTTCTATAAAAATTCCTATCAGTTAAAAGCACTTGGTAAAATAGTTGAAGAAAATGAACACAAAGGAAATGATCACATGTGAAAGAGTTCAAATATTTATTAAAATGAATATTAGCAGGAAATGTTTTGAAGAATTCACCCAGTTGTAATATAGACACAAAGGACTTCTGTACATAGTTATAAGATGATCTGGTAGATGGCTTAATAGAAATCAAGAGAAAGTTGATAGTTTCTTTTGAAAACTTTTTTATTGATGAGGCTCATGCTATAAGACTGAGATCCTGATTCACCTGAAGGGCATTTGGAACAGAAATTATTTTCCCTAAAATTATTGGAAACACTCTTGACTACTGGAGCAATAAGGTATTTTTTCCCATATCATTGGCAGTTGAATATCTCCGAATGATATAGACTATGTTTACCAGTCTGTTAAAGAAGGGGGTAGAAGATGCAACCAGTTCATTATTTATTGGTCCTCAAATTGCTGAAATTGAGATAACATGTAGAATAAAGAATAAAAAAAGACACAATCTTCACACAAATTAGACATGCAAATACATACATATATATGTATCACCAGTGATTTATATAATGGCATAGAGAATACACTTATAAAGTTTGTGGGTGATACCAAGCTGGGAGGGGTTGCAAATGCTTTGGAGGATAGGATTAAAATTCAAAATGATCTAGACAAACTCGAGAAATGGTCTGAAGTAAATAGGATGAAATGCAATAAGGACAAATGCAAGTACTCCACTTAGGAAGGAACAGTCAGTAGTACA